CCCCCACCTCCCACCCCCCCAACCCCCCCAAAACCTTAAAATGGCAGTGTGAAGCACTGGCAGCCAGGTGTGACTGAAAACTGTATGTTCAGAAATAAATTTTCTGTGTATTGTCTAAAGAGTTAGAAAGGGGGAGAGGATTCTGCTGGAGCTCTGTCCTCAATCGCTGCATCCTAGAAGATGAGCTGTGTTGTTCCCGGAGTGCATGAACAGCATGCTTACTCTGGAAGGAGGGGTGAGATGGTGATACACACAGCTCTCTGGTGGGTGCCCGAGAGACAATTGCGTTTAGCCTCCCTTCCTCCATTCAAAAAACTGTGTATTTGTTGCAAGGATTAAATTTTTAAAAGTTGAAGTGTCAAAGTTTGCAGGCAAGTGTCAAGTATCTTTCAAATTATGTGTGTGGAGAACTGAATGAAATGCTTTATAAATTTCTATAAGCATGAGGGTTCTTACTGCTCTGCTGATAGACTACCAGCCTGTACAACTAGTAAAGCTACTTTTGCGGAGGTTAGCTTTAACATATGTGTAAAAGCAAAGCTTTGTTGGCGTAGATAAAAAAATACTTTAATACACAGCATTTTGGTAACATTTTCCTAGTGTAAATGTTCCCTTAACCAGCTTTTCACCTAAAAGCAGAATAAATGAAGTTAACCCAGTGCACATTTGCTGGTGTGCCTGGATTTTCATTTTGACTAATGTATTGCAAGTGGGTATGTATTTTTTCATTTGTAATTGTGCCCATGTGGATGAGCGGGACAGGCTTTGGAAGCTTGTGGGGGGTAGGTGGGTCTTATCAGTTTGTAAACTTTCACATGTATATTGGGAAGAGTTGGAGTGCTCTACAGCCTCTTTGTGTATAAAGAAATATATAAACTAATTTTTGGAAAAGACTTAGGAATTTATTTTTAAAAAATGGAGTGTAGATGTGCACAGTCTATTGAACCTGTTTTCTGAGAATTTTATTGTTTTATATATTTTTCTGTTGCTTCTTTCTGTTAGCCCTTCTAATAACAGAACAGTAGCCTGTTCAAATTTCTTGTTTTAAATGAACCACTAGCATGTTGCACAAGTATAAGGAAAAACAGAGTGACTGGTAGCTTTTTGTTCTTTCAAAACTAAATCCATTTCTTCAGTTTTGGTGATCAAATAAGACTTTAATAAGGAAGTTCAACAAATTGCTCTGCTCCTTCCCGAAGGACTCGGTCATGTAAAGTCAAGAATGGCAGCCATTTCAATGGCTGCTTCTGAAGGCGATTGGTCCCTCTTCACCCTCTTTTTTTCCCCGTCGTATTCTTTGGTTGCACAGAGACAACTAGCTTCACTGACAACTTACTTTTACTTCATTTTGAAGCCATGGAGAATTGGGAGTTGTTTTAAAATGAGAGTGGGCCTTAGCTTGGATTTCATTAGAAGCAGTAACAGATACGTTGAAAAGGTTAAAACAAGTATATTGAAAAGCATCGGGGATGTGTGGATCTCAGCATACATTAAAAGATGTTAAAGATTATTTTCATGGTAGCCAAAATATTTTTTGAGATGAACATGGGAAATCATGTGTGTATATGTGAATGGACAGCGAAGAATAAACAAGTCTGAGAATAAATTTTGTAAATTCTGAAGAGCGATACAAAATGGATGCTACTTATCTTCAGATGATTACATATACTACAATAGCATTCTTCTTTGATTTTATTGCTCTTAATTAAATGTTCTTACATGTATGGGAACCCAAGACTCCACTTCCACCCCCCCTCCTCCTGCCAGTGTCCAGTTTTCTTCCAAAATTAGTTCCAGTTCATTTTAAGATAGGCACTGCTACCTCTAGTCATAAGATGTTCATTGTGAGACTGAGTTGAAGGCTTTGGGATCTAACATTGCATTTTCTTCTTTTGGCTTGTTTAGCTTTCTCTTAAGTTTGATCCGAACTCTGAACTATTTGCTTTTCATCCTTACTGTTTCAGAGATCAGTGAAACTCTCAAACTTATTTTGTGTAAATTACAGTAATATATTCAACCATAAATTGTCCATAATAATCTTTATGAATATGCTTTGCAATTGGAAAATATTGCAGTGAAGTGTGAATAGCTTCCATGTCCTATGAAAAATATATGTGTTTTTCTGAATAGTAAGTGCAAGTTTTCTGTAATCAAACTAATCTTTAGTTTGGCAAAAAGTAGTTTTTAGTAGGTAAGGTGAGGTTGTTTTTGTTTTGAGCAGTATGTTATTTGTAGTTCTGTTCTACTATAGTACTGAGTTTTTCTAGTAATTTAAATAATGTAATTTCTTTATTTTGATTTTAGGAGAATGACATCTTCCTGGGCTGGGAAAAGGGAGCTTACAAGAAATGGGGAAAGAGTAAGAAAAAGTGCTCTGATCTAACACTAGAGGAAATGAAAAAGCAGGCTGCTGTCCAGTGTCTTCGCTCTGCTTCTGATGAAGTAAGTTTGAACTATTTAATAGATTCTTAATTTAATAGACTTTAAATAAATAAATAGACTATCAATAAATAGACTGTAAATAAATAAATAGACTTTATGGCCTTTTTTGTGTTAGATGGATTTAGCTTGTGATGCTTATCTTTTAATTTGTGGCTTCTTAAAATGCAAGTTCCCCAAGAGTTCTCTGGGAGTTCTTTATTTTTCTTCAGGAAATTATGAAATCTGTGTATGACAGTAGGATTTTACAAAAGATTCTGTACTATGTAGTGTCATGGTTTTCTGTCTGTAATACCTCACCTATTCTTGTCAGGGACAGTTGCAATGCACCAGTTTATGTTGAAATTACCACAAAGCTTTGCATAAAGATTTTTCTTAGAATTCTGAGTTTACTTTGTGTTGTGTGTGAGCAGCAAGGAATGGAATTGGAATATTAGGGCAGAAAGCCATCTTGCTTTGCGCATGCTGTATGCGTAATCCAGAGTTGCTAAATAAATGCAACGTATAGTAGCAATTGTTCACTTTTCAGATTACATCATGGAGTGGAAGTGGAATTGAAGTGCACTGACTGGAGAAGGACAGGAGAGGTGAAGGCAACAGGTTGAAGGAAGGTACCAGAGGCAGCAGATACCACGTAGCTCAATAGAAAAGTAGAGAAAGGGAGAGACTGTTGAAGGAAATGTTTAAAAATAAAAAAAAAATCTGTAGCACAGGTCAGTGAAAACTCTCCAGGGAGTTTTTTCAGACAGCAGAAATGCAAAAGTCTGTCTTTTAGTTTACAGAACTACAAACAATCTGATCTGTCACTACTGTAAGAAGAAGTTCTACCCAGCCTATGCAACCTGGTTGCGTTATTGCTCCATACAGCTTCCTAGTCAGTTTGTGCTTGTGCAAGCATTTGTGTGGTTGTGTGGAGAACTGGATTGGGAAAGTGAATCAGTTTCCTGAGTTTAACCTGGTTGGGGTGGAGGAAATTTTAACCCAGAGAGGTTTCCTGGTAAGATTTGTAGCACAGACACTTGTGCCATCAAGAGTGTCAAGGTATGTGGGCCAAGAATAATGAAGGAAATGGGAGTTGATTTGTGTCGTTATTCTCACCGCCACCACCTTCAGCATCATTGCCACCATATATTGGCATACTGTTTGTGAAGCTACTTGAGCATTTGTTCAGTTACTAAAGTGCTAATTCATTGATTGTGAGTTTTCTGAACTCCCATTTTCCCAGTACTTCGTATTGTAACAAAGTGATGCAAAATACAATTTTGCTGGTAATTTGCTGTGCTCTCATAGTTACAGAATATTGAGGTCAGCACTCTGACTACTGTAAAAGTTAATCTAAATATGAGGCAAATATGAAGAAATAATTGCAAGAAGTATTGTCTTTCTTCAGGATATGACTATCTTTGTATACTCATTTATGAACAACAAAAAGTAGTAGTCTCATACATAGACCACAGGAATACTGACCGTCAATTTTTAGCTGTAGAAACTAATCTCTTGATACATCTTCACATTGCTGAAAATCAAGGCGCATTGCTTAGCAGTAAATATGTCATATAGAGAAATCCAGTTGAAAAGAAAAACAAGGAGATAAATTTATTGATAATCCATAGTCTGCCTCCACTTGAAAGTTCGTATAACCTAAAACAGATGAAGAAGGGAAGAAACCCTTCAACTAGAGTTTTGAAAGAATAAAAAGACGTGATCTGAAAGGCTGAACAAATAACTTCCTCCTTTGACTCCTGCCACCTTGTCAGATTTTTAGTGTTCAACATTCATCTACAACCTGTGGACTTGCGTTATTTCAGGGTTATTTTGACTTCTGTTGCATGCCTAGACAATTCAGCTTGCACATTTGTGGTCTTTAATGAAATTGTAGGTTACTTGTCTTGCATAAGAGAGAAATACGGTTTGGGTTTTTTTTGTTGGTTTTTGGGTTGGTTTCCCCCCCATCACCCTGGATTTAGGGGGAAGGATGATCCTGCTTTGATGCTAGTGATATTTTAAAGTAACTTGTATCTTTTTTTTCTGCTTTTCAAACACATTTCCTGTGTTGGCTGGCTTCTGTATTTATGTTTGTGTGCTAATCTGATGGGAATAATCATTAGTTTTTGGACTGTGAAACATAATGATACAATACTGTTGCTGCTGAGGCATTCAAGCTGCCCCATGCAATGTTCATGGTTTCATCTCTACAAAAAGATAAAAATACTCTGTTAACTGTAGCCAGAATCGATGATTAGTGGTGTGTGAGTGAGGAGTATTTATAAAAACTGTTGAGATACAAAGAAATACTTTTTTCCGATGCCACTGAAATTTTTTTAAATTGTTTTCTGAATCATCTGAAGACATTTACCTGTAGAGTTTGGGGTTGTTTGTTTTTTGTTTTGTTTTGTTTGGTTTTTTTTTGTTTGTTTTGTTTTGTTTGTTTGGTTGGTTTTTTTTTTTGGTCAGATAGGTAGAAGCTGGATGTGTTCATTAGGATCTTCATAAATATGTCAACTAGCAGCTTTGTTCTCACAGGTTTTTCTTCTTGCAAGGGGCCTGGCAGTAGTCCACGTGGGCAGTTCTGGAGCTTGCTTACAGTTTTGCTATTCTTCTGTGATCCTTTTTTTCAAAGTAGGTGGATACGGAAATACCAATATCCTCACACGGATATGGAACACTTGCTCTTCCAGCCTAACCTCTTCTTTCAACCTTCACATTGGAGCAAAGCAAGCAAAATTGAGGTAGCTCCATTACTGGGAGTAATCGAAAGAAATCAGTGTATATAAAAATAAGTATATTTAAATAAGATTATATTTAAGTGAAATGGTTACAATGTTTACTCTGTGTGTGTCTGTAGAGATAGTGTATATACACACATTTATGTGTACATACGCACAAACAACAACACCACCAAAACAAAATAGGGAGACAGTTAAATGAAGATCTTATGATTCTGCAATCAGATATATTTTAAGGGGGAAAAATGCGCAGAGGGTGAAAGGATATTGAGGGTTAATAGTAACGTTTTTTCTAACTCTTACACAAATGACAGAGATCCAGGTACCATGGTTTTGAGGTTGATATTTAATTAGTTAAACCAGTAACATGTTGAGAAATTGCAGACAGTCTGCCTCCTCCCCCCTACCAGTAAACCTAAAATTGGATGATCACTTCAAAAAGATGCTTGATGGGGAGAGAAATTAATAAAATAGATGAGATGAAAATTGCCTTCATAACAGTAAACACTGTTTTTGTCAGTCTTTCATTTAATGATTGAAATAAATATTTTGAAATCTTGTTTCTTGTGGGTTTTCATTTACATAGTACTCATTCGTAGGGAATACTTTATTTGGTAGCTTAGTTTTGTTTGAATTCAGTTTTTTGTCTCTTACAAAGAAGTAATGCTGTAAAACACTAGTCTGAGACAGAAATCCAAGACTCTAGTTATAACTTTATAGTGCAGTAAACAAACATTTAACTTCAAAAACCCTATAGTTTAATGTTTATTTCGAAAACATTTCCTAAGTTACAGAACATGACAAGTCAGGGAAGCTGCAGTCTTTTGACCGCTCTGATCACTGTGTCTTGCGTGTTGTGGACTAAGTGCTTTTGTGAGATGAGGCCTGATTTTGACAGATATGTCAATCAAGGTATATTACATATACCATATCTGGTATGTGTAATAATGTAAATTGTTAATGTATGTATGTTCTGAGAACAGTATTTTTTGTGACAAGCACTCTGGTGTCTCAAGTTGTCTATATTCGTATAAATCTTTGGCTGCAGGTACTCCTTATGCAGTCAGAAGCAGAGGAAATGTAAGTATGTTGCAACTTGCCAGAAAATGAAGACAGAATGATGCTGAGAAGAACTTTTAAAACAAGGATTTTAATGTAATAATTAATTGCTATTCTTACTGCAGTTCTAAAGTCTATTTTTTCCAAAGCACTTGGATGGAGTATAAATAGCAGTTCAAAGAGGTGCTGAATAATTGTTCACATTTTAAAAAGCTTGGTAATATTGACCTTGAATAGAGACTTTGTCTTAGTTCTTATCCTGCTG